TGGACGCCTTTAATTTCCCTGTCTTGCCATATAGCTCTTGCTAAGACTTCCAGCACAATATTGAATAGGAGTGGTGACAAAGGGCATCCTTGTCTGGTTTCTGTTTGCAGAGGGAAGGCTTTCAGTTTCTCTCCATTGAGAGTAATGTAGGCTGTTGATTTTGTATATATACTCTTAATTATGTTGAGGAATTTCCCTTCAATCCCTATTTTATTGAGTGTTTTTATCAGGATTGGATGTTGGATTTTGTCAAATAACTTTTCTGCATCAATCGATATGATAATGTGGTTCTTTTCTTTTTTCTTATTTATATAGTGGATAACATTGATCGTTTTTCTAATGTTGAGCCATCCTTGCATCCCTGATATGAATCCCACGTGATCATGATGTATTATCTTTTTGATGTGTTGCTGGATTCTGTTGGCTAGGATTTTGTTGATAATTTTTGTGTTTATGGTCATGAGGGATATTGGTCTATAATTTTCTTTCTTAGTGACATCCTTCCCTGGTTTTGGTATGAGGGTTATGCTTGCTTCATAAAATGTATTAGGAAGTTTTCCATCCTCCTGTATCTTCTCGAATACTTTGAGTAGAATTGGTGACAGCTCTTTCCTGAATGTTTGGTAGAACTCACCAGTGTAGCCATCTGGGACTGGGCTTTTTTTGGTTGAGAGTCTTTTGATGAGCTGATCAATTCCTTCTTTTGTCATGGGTCTGTTCAGGTTTTCTACTTCACTGTGTATAAGTTTAGGTAGGTCATGTTTATCTAAAAATGTATCCATCTCTTCTAAGCTTTCAAATTCGTTTGAGTACAACTTTTCATAGTGTTCTGTTATTATCCTTTTGATTTCCTTTGGTTCCGTTGTGACATCGCCCATGTGGTTTCTAATGCGTGTTATTTGTGTCTTCTCCCTCTTTTCTTTTGTTAGGTTTGCCAATGGTCTGTCAATTTTGTTAATCCTTTCAAAGAACCAGCTTATTGTCCTGTTGATTGTTTCTATAGTTTTTCTGTTTTCCATCTCATTTATTTCTGCTCTAATCTTTATTATTTCTTTTCTTTTGGTGACCTTAGGTTCCCTTGGTTGGTCTGTTTCTAATTGTTGTAGATGCTGTGCTAATATGTTAATTTTGGTTCTTTCTTCTCTTTGGATGTGTGCATTTTTTGCAATAAATTGTCCTCTCGGCACTGCTTTTGCAGTGTTCAAAAGATTTTGGTATGTTGTGTTTTTGGTCTCAATTGTTTCTAGGAACTTTGTGAATTTACCTTTAATTTCTTCTATTACCGAGTCACGTTTCAGCAGGGTGTTATTCAGTTTCCATGTATTTTACTTGATTTCTTGGTTCATTCTATTACCTTTTATTTCTATTTTTTCTACAAACTTCTGAAGCCCCCTCATTTAAGAGTTCTGGTGCGGTGCTACGAGTCAATGCACTGGACTGCAAAGTCAGTTTGAACTGCAAGGTTGGTGGTTCAAGCTCACAATCTTCTGCTTCTTGGAAACCCTATACAGGGTCGCTATGGGTCGCAATTGACTCAAAGGCACTTAACGACAACATTTAGGACAGAGCAGAACTGTCCTCTAGGGTTGCGAGGCTGTCATCGCTATTAAAACTACCATATCCTTCTCTGGTAGAGCAGCTATTGGTTTTGCATTACTGGCCTGCTAATTAGTACCCAAGGCCTTGAGTTTTCTCAGCTGTAATGGCTGATTTTAGTGTTTTACCTTACGCATGCACACATATATACACATAGATAATGAAAGTCATTTTCTGTTAATGTAGAATGCTAATAATTAAGGTTATTCAAAACCAGTAGCACTCTAGCGTAGTAATTATGAGTATAGAACCTGAATGTACTTTTTGCTTATTCACTTATCTGGGACAGGCATTTAGGTTGTTTCCACTTTTTGGTTACTGTAGCCTTTGGTCTGTGTAGGCTTAAAAAGAAACGGAGTCATGATACATGCTACAACATGGATGACCCTTGAAAACATTATCCAGAATGAAATAAGTCAGCCACAAAAGGATAAACATATGTGTACTTCTTATACAGATATGTTATTGTTGTTAAGTGATGTAAGTCAGTTCTGACCCTGTATAGGGTTTCTGAGGTGTGGCTGGTAAGCTTGAACCGCCAACTTTGTGGTTCAAACCAACTTTGCAGCCCAGCGCATTAACCCACAGCATCACACCAGGACTCCCATACAGATATCAGTATTGTATAATGTCCGACTTATATGAAATAGTCATTAGAGACACGTGCATAGAGACCATGTTTTCTTAGTGGTTAACCAGGAATCAGAGGGAGGAGAAAAAGGGGAGCCACTGTTAAGTCAGGGACTGAGGACCTGTAAACAGTAGAATAATTAAAAAGGGATAGTGTTGACAGTTGTACAACATGGTGAATATAATCACTGTCACCTAATGGTGTGTGCAAAAACTGTCAAATTGAAAAAAATTTTTGTTATATATATTTTGACCACAACAAAACAATTTTTACAAAAATTGATGCTAAGCCTATATCGAACTGCAGAGGAGTAAGAGTAACCAATACAATCTTTGGAAGGAAAACCAGAATTGGTATACTTATACTCTCAGACATTATAAAGCTGTGCTAATTAAGACAGTTATTATGTGAAGTTTTCCAATGAATGAACAAAATTGAATAGAAAGTCTAGACATAGATCCACACAAATGTTGTTTCATGATTTATGACAAAAATGACACTGCAGTGCAGTGGGGGAACTGTTAAAACATGGTATTGAGTATCCACACAGGCAAAAAGAAAAAAAAAAAGTAATTTGATCCCTACTAACACACAATTTTACAAAAAAATTGAGACAGATAATAGGCTGTACACATGAAAAACATGCTCAATGTCATTTAATCGCCAGGGAAACACAAATAAAAACATCACACCTTTCAGGATGAATACAATTGAAAAGACACCACCATCAAAAACCTAACACTATAAAGTTGGAGTAAGGGGGTGGAGCAACTAGAAGTTTCACACAATGCAACAACTGGCATATCTATTTTTTTAAACCACTTGTCAGTATATATTAAAGCTGAACATGTATATATACCCTATGACAAAAAAAATCCCTTCCATTTTTCACCCACATAAATTCATACACATGTGTACCAAAAACATGCAAAACCTGTTCAAAGCAACTTTATGTTAATAGGAAGAAAATAAGTGATATATTTATAAAATGGACACTAGAGGTAGACAGCCACATTAAAAATAAATGAACTACTGAGATAGCAGCAATATGGATGAAATCCTGAAACCATAATGTGAAACAAAAAAAGTCAGACACACAAAAAAAGCACAAAACAAACAACACTAAACATGGTGACAAAAGTGGAAAAGTTCACTTTGAAAGGGTTGGTAAGGACTAGGAAGAGATATGAGAACTCACCTGTTGTGTCGCCATCAAGTTGATTCCAATTTGAGGAGCAGTTGGTGGGTTTGAACTATCTAACTGTAGTCTAGTGTTTATTCTACACCACCAGTGCCGCACCTAGACTCTAAAAACACGTCTAAGGTGCTATCATTGCTCTACATCTTGATCTGGATGATGGCATGGGGTGTTATACAAAAAAAATTATTGGTACATTTATAATTCGTGCAGTTCTTTTAGGTATGTTATACTTTAACTGGACTCCTGGCATGATGCTGTAGGATCAGCACTGGACTGTGAACCACAGGTTGGCAGTTCAAAACCCACCAGTCACTCTTTGGAAACCCTATACAGGACCACTTTGAGTTAAAACCGACTCGACGGGACTTAACCACAAAACATACTTCAGCTGGGAGCACGTTCACTCTGGACGTTAAATAATGGATTGTGAAACACAATGAAGAGTGGTTCGAGACCACAAGCCACTCTGCAGAAGAAAGATGAAGGTTTTACTCCCAAGAAGATTTAAAGCCTCAGAAACACTATACATGGTTCCTGTATGAGTCATAACTGACTCTACAGCACTTAACAACAAATATTTCAATTATAAATATTTGAAAATTGCTCTAATAGGCAAAACTCGGTAAAAATAGGCAAAATACTAAAATCAAGATCTAGTTCCATAGAAGCTGGCAGAAGATATTTCTATGGACCACAATGCCATTACCCAACATGTGGGTGGAACTGTGCATCCATCCCAAAAAATACTTAAGTCCTAACTGTTAAACCTGCAAATATGACCCTGTACATACTTGAAGATATTATCACTTATGTAAACACGCGGTTATAGCAGACGGTGGTTGGTATCTATCCCTGAAGTCATTCTCCACCTATCTGATTGGTGTCCTTACAAAAGAGGAGAAGACAACAGAAACCGGCAACAGAAAAAGGATGCCATGTGATGGGACAGGCAGTTATAAGTAAAGAAATCCCTGACTACCAGAAACTAGAAGAGAGACATGGAGCAGATTCTCCCTAAAAGCCCAAATGGAACCACCATGGCCAACACTCTGATCTCACATTCCCAGTATCCAGAACTGTGGGACAATAAATTTCCGTTCTTATAAGCCACCTACGTGTATTTTATTACAGAACATTTTTTACAGCAGCCCTAAGAAATGAATACACCCAGTAAGTTATATTTAAAGGTCAGATACCCACATATATATCTCTGTCCTCTGATCATATTTCCATGTACAAAGTATGCTTTTTAGGAGAATACAGAGGTCATTTAACCATCTCATCTATGCTCAGAGTTCATAAACTAGTAGAAAATCGATTTTAAATCTCTTAGACAGACTTAATACTTAAAGTTTATTTACCTATTTGATAAACTTGAATTCTCACTGCATAAAATATGGTCTAGTGTCAGCTTTCTAGGTTTCTATACTATAACACCACTTTCTTCCTATAGTATTTCCAGAGATATTCTATTGTTTTACAGGTTAGTAAAGGAAAACAAGCAAAAGCTGGAACCTGTCAGATAAGGAAAACCTGAATATTTTCCATTACTAGAGCACAATAGAGAAATGGTCAGGCTGCACCCTGGAAAAGGTAGAAAATAGGTGAGGCCCAGGAAAAGCATGGCAGTCCCATCACATTCCTCCTTGCCCAGGTTTCACCACATATGAGTACAAAAACTACTTTGCTCATACATGAAAATAATGATTCACAAACATAAAGACTTTTAAAACCTTATTGCCCAAACACAATACAGGCCTCACCCACTATCTGAAAGTAGAACATTCTTACAAAAGCAAAATGGCATAAAGCAAAGACACAATTACCATAGATTTATGTGGGACAATATATTCTCAGACCCAAAAAATACCCTAAGAATCATGCGAAATCAAACATAATCCTAAAATAACACTAAAATATAGTGCTCACAGGCACAGTTCAAAGGTATGGTGGCTTGATGCTGGGCTGCTGAACACAGTTCCCAGGACAGGAGCCTAAGGACATCACTCTTCCTTCTCAGGATGCACACAAGCTGCCTCTTTTATTGTTGCTGTTGTTGGTAGGCACCACTGATTTGGTTCCAGCTCACAGTGACTCTGTAGTTTCTCAGGATCAGCTGGTGAGTTTAAACTGATGACCTCATGGTTCACAGTCCAGTGCTAATCTTACAGCACCACACCAGGAGTTGAGCCCCCTTTAATTAACAAATTATTTTTTGTTTGCGAGATTTCATAGATGTAATGTCTTTTTCACTAATAGAATATATGTGGAATCACTGTAAATTTTTGTTAGGTACGACAGAATTCGATAAATATTACGTGGGATACACGTCTCAAAGAATTCTGGTGGTAGGATAGGTAGGGTGAGAAATTATGATTTACAGCCTTAGAAACCCTGTACAGGGTCGCTATGGGTCGGAACCGACTCCACGGCACATAACAACAACAACAAGAACAATAACTTAACAACTCAAAAGCAGTTCCAACTCAAAGCAAACCTGCATAGGGTTTCCGAGGAGTGGCTAGTGAGTTTAAACAGCTGACCTTGTGGTTCAAACCGACCTTTCAGTCCAGAGTACATTACCCTGCAGCACCACAAGGACTATGTATTCTAGGAAATACTGGAATGCTGAGAAGTGAGATTAATTATTCTGTTTAACCTCATTTAGTAAAGAAGGCTCGATGCCCAAAATAGTCTCATATATGAATATTTCCTTATTACCTTAACATTCAATTGAGGCTGAGAGTTCATATAGTCAAAAAGCAGCTGATAGTTCTTGAACTGCTGCTCCCATTCTGTGCGGTCACAGTAGCGGAAATCATCTCCCAGTGGGGCCAGGACTACTTTAGTACGGAAAAGCTTTGACTTCTTTCGGTACTGATCCAGTAGCATCTGAGCCCTTAAAGAGAAAAGGGGGAAAGATGAATACTACTAAAAAAAGGAAAAGGAGGTTACTAATCAAAAGGAAATTATTGAATGTTGGTTTTATCTATACTCTAGATGAATATGATTAACAAAGATACCATACTGATTTTCATTCAGTTGAAATAATCAAACACAAAAGGAATAATCTGCCTTTTGATATGATGTTACAATAAATTCCAGTAGATTATCAATAAGGAAATACAGTCACATATCAGCCTTGGTATACAATTGCTGAGAGCACCAATGTGCCACACCCCACCGTCACCACCGAAGTCCAGAAACAAAGCATGGATCCCAGACTAACAGCCAGTATTTTGTTTATATTTGAGCCTAAAAAGACAATAATAATTTCTCATGTACATGATTTTGAAGATTTGCTTTGCTATGATTAATCTAAATGGTTTGCTTAACATAGAAGAAAGAAGGTATAAAATTTTGAACAAAACCAAAATGAATACACAAATTTAAATTTTTACCATTTCATATTATCTCCTCTTCAAAAGAAAGATCAATTTACTCACTATTGACCACCAATAATCTGAGTGTCACAGCAACCTTCTCAATACTGATCACCAGATAAAGGCAAGGGACTGACATAGCTAGCTATTTTGGCTTCTATTTCTCAGGGTCCTAATCCATGCTATAAAAGGTCAACTAAGCACAACGTGCGATGTGATGAAATAGCTTTTATACTTCATATTCTAGTACTTGGAAGGATATCTTTTGAAAAATGTTGAATTGAGACACCATTGGTGGAAGCTGGGGAACACAAACTGACTAAGAAAAACAGGACAAGCAGAAAAATCTAGAGTAGTTCTCAATGCTTACAATGCCAAAGCTTAAGAAATGAGTGATAAATGATAAAGAAGCATTTTTCCCCTAGTATTCAAGTTTGTACTAAAAGTATTATCTGGAAGTAAACTCAAATCTAATTACTTAGGAAAGTAATTCAAAGACTTTCAAAACTGGAAAAAGAAATTTTATAAAAATTATGGGATAACACTGAACTAAATAAAATGTCTCAGACAATCTTTAAAAATTGATGGTAGTATCTGAAATTCCTTTGAAAATATGTTAGTAGCAATAAGTTATTAAATAAATAATAATAAATATAAAAACATAGTACTAACATACAGTGTTTACTTTGCTCAGTACAACACTGTGTGTGACAGGATAATATCCTTAAGACTACAAGGAAGACCAGTTAATATCAATAATATTCAAATTTACGCTTAAACCACAAAACCAGTGAGAAAGAATTTGAAGAATTCTACCAACTTCTTCAGTCTGAAATTGATCAAATATGCAATCAAGATGTATTGATCATAACTGGCAACGGGAATGCAAAATTGTAAACAAAGAGGGAGGATCACTGGTTGGAAAATACGGCCTTGGTGATAGAAACGATGCTAGAGATTGTATGATACAATTTTGCAAGACCAATGACTTCACTGCAAATACCTTTTTTAAAAAACATGAAATAAAACTATACACGTGGCCCTTACCAGATGGAATACACAGAAAAAAAACTGACTACATCTGGGGAAAGAGACAGTAGAAACGCTACATATCATCAGCCAAAACAAGGCAAGGAGCAGACTGTGTAACAGACCATCAGTTGCTCATATGCAAAATAGGCTGAAGCTGAAGAAAATTAAAACAAGTACACGAGAGCCAAAATGTGACTTTGAACATATCCCACTTGAATTTAAAGATCATCTCAAGATCAGATTTGATGCATTAGACAGTAAAGATCAAAGACCAGAACAATTGTGGGATGACATCAAGAACAGCATACAAGAGGACGCCTGGTGTGGCATTGCGGGCTAATGCATCAGACTGTAAAGTCGTTTGAACTGCAAGGTTGGTGGTTCAAGCTCACCAGCTGATCCTTGGAAACCCTATACAGGGTCGCTATGGATCAGACTCAACTCAGCAGCACTTCACAACAAAAATCATTTACTTTTCACTTGTATGCTGTTCTTGATGTCATGGATGGGAGAAATGAGGAGGTAAAAGAGCTAAACTGAAAATTTCAAAGGTCAGCTCAAGAAGACAAAGTCAAATAGTACAAAGACATACGCAAGGACATGGAGTTAGAAAGCCAAAGGAGAGGAACACGCTCAGCATTTCTTAAGCCAAGGAAACAGAAGAAAAAACTCAAACTTCAACTTGTCCTATTGAAGGACTCTATGGGCAAATTACTGAATGATGTTCAACCACTTCAAGAGGTAGCATAAGACACAGAAGGAAGAAGTCCAAGGTGCACTGAAGGCATTGGCAAAGAACAAGGCATCAGGGATTGATGGAATACAAATTGAAACCTTCCAACAAACTGATGTGGCATTGGAAACACTCACTCATCTATGCTAAGAAATCTGGAATATAACTACTTGGCCAAGAGATCCACGTCTGTGGCCACTCCAAAGAAAGGTAACTCAATGGAATGTGGAAATCATTATACACTATCACTGATATCCCATGCAAGTTTTACTAAAGGTAATCCAAAAACAGTTGCAACAGTACACTGACAGAGAACGTCTAGAGGTTCAAGCCAGATTCAGAAGAGGACATGGAACAAGTGATATCATTGCTGATGTCAAATGGATCTAGGATGAAAATAGAGAATACCAAAAAGATGTTCCCCTGTGCTTTATTGACTACACAAAGGCTTTCACTTATATGGATCATGACAAGCTATGGACAACATTGCGAAGTATGGATATTACAGAACACTTAATTGTGCTCATGAGGAACCTGTACATAGACCAAGAGGCCATTGTTCGAACAGAACATGGGAACACTGAATGATTTAAAATTAGGAGTGTGTGCCAGGGCAGTATTCTTTCACCATACTTATTCAATCTGTATGCTGAGCAAATAATCCGAGAAGCTGGATTACATGAAGGAAAACATGGCATCAGGTTTGGAGGAAGACTCATTAACAACCTGTGATATGCAGCTGATACAACCTTGCTTGCTGAAAATGAAGATAACTTAAAATATGTACTGATGAAGATCAAAGACCACACTTAAGTATGGTTTACATCTCAATGTAAAGAAAACAAAAATCTTCACCACTGGACCAATAAACAACATCAGTATCAGTGGAGAAAAGATTGATGTTGTCAAGGACTTCGTTTTGCTTGAATCAACCATCAACACTCATGTAAGCAGCAGTCAAGAAACGGAATGACATACTGCATTAAGCAAATATGCCGCGCAGGACCTCTTTAAAGTCTCCAAGAGTAAAGATGTCAGTTTGAGGGTTAAGGTGCGATGAATACCAAGCCATGGTATTTTCAGTAACCTCTTATGTATGGAAAAGTTGGACAGTGACTAAGGAAGACCATAGAAGAACTGATTCATTTGAGTTCCAGTCTTCGAGAAGAATATTAAAAGTACCATGAACTGCCAAAAGAGCAAACTGATCTACGGTGGAAGAAGTGCAGCCAGAATGCTCTTTGGAAGCCAGGGTGGTCAAACTCCATCTCTCATACCTCTGACATATTATCAGGTGAGACCAGTCACTAGAGAAGGATATCATGTTTGGTAAAGTAAAGGGTGGGAGAAAAAAAGGATGACCCCAAAGGAGATGTGTTGGTACACTGGCGGCAGTGAATGGCTCAGCCTTAACAACAGTTGTGAGGTTGGCTCAGGAGTGGGCACTGTTTAGTTCTTTTGGGCACAGGGTCGCTATGAGTCAGTACTGACTTGATGGCACTTAAAAACAACAATAGCATTAAATTTTTCACAAGTAATTTACTTGTATACTTCCCCAAAACACTTTTGAATTACTAATTGCAACAGAAAACACACTTATGAAATCAATTACGTAGGACTAGAGGAAAGAAATCACAAACATTAAGGGCATTTATTTATATTTGGCATCTATCCAAACTCTCCAGCTCCTGCCCAGAAAATGCCAAAACTAAGAAAATCAAATGAACGGTATACATAACCAGGCATGTATCAGATGCTCATGAAATGTAAGGAGAAGTAACGATGAATAAATCGACTGGTATCACATTTAAGGATGTGCAGCAGCAATTGCTTTTCATTTATTCTACCAGGTAAGAAATGTCACTGTAACTACAATTAAGAAAATAAAAATTTTCCTGAAACATCAAATCAACTGGAATTCAATGCAAAGAGTTCACTTAAAATACATGGTTTTAGATTAAAAACAAAAACAAAACTTGATGAATATTTCTTTATTTGTAAAGCAAAGGAACCTGTTGAACTGGACATATTAAAATATGTCATCTATATAGGCATATGAAAGTTAAACGTTTTTCTTTAGATTATTTTAAAAATGAAATACACGGTCAAATAGAATCCAAGTATTTGCTCACCATTCATAACCAGGCCAAAAGAGGAAAAATAAAATAATGAGCCCGTGTTTGGATCTGAAGTAATCATCTAAATTATGATTTCAAGATTTGTAAGATGTTAAATGCTAACCATAAAGGTTTTTAGTAGCCAAACATTCAAAAGTAGTACATGTCTTCTTCCTAATCTTGTCTAAATCGTAAGGTCAGATGACCTGTCAAACATGAGTGTACCCTGCTGGTATTTAAAATACTGGAGACATAATTTCCAATATCACAGCAACATGTTAGCCAACGACAGTACAACAAAAATAGCAGAGGAACATTGTCAGATAGCACCAGAATATTCAGTATTGAAGCATGATGAACAGCACCATGATATTATCAAACATAGTGCCAGAAGATGAACTCCTCAGCCTGGATGACATCCAGAGTATAACTGGGGAAGAGGATGCCTCCTCAAAGCAGGGTTGACCGTGATGACATGAATGGAGTAGTTTTCAGGACCTTCATTTGCTGAGTGGGCACAACTCAAAATGAGGTATTGTTGTTGTTAAGTGCTGTCAATTCAGATCAAAACACAGCAACCCTGTATAGGGTTACGGAGGAAAAGCTGGTGAGTTGGAAAAGCAAACCTTAGGGTTCAAACTGACCTTATAGTTAAATGAGGAGAAATAGCTGTAAATATCCATTAATAATCTGAACAAGGAATGTATGAATTATGAATCTAGGAAAATTGAAGTTGTCAAAAAATGAAATGGAACCTATAAAGATTCATATCATAAGCATGTGTGAGCTGAAAATGGGCTGGCATTGGCAATTTTGAATCTGTTACTCCTATGGTTTGCTATGCTGGGAATGAAAAAATTAAAGAGGGGTGGTATTGTGTTTATTATCAAAAAGACCATTTCAAGACCTAAGTTATAATGCAGTATGTGATAGTTGAAAATCTGCATGTCTAGAAGGAAGACTAGTTAATAACACTACTACTCAAATTCATGCCAATTACGATGAAATTAAAGAATTCTATCCGCTGTTTCAGTATGAAACTGATCAAGCTGCATTGATATTTACTGGTGAATGAAATGCAGAGGTTGAAACAAAGAGGAAGGAATAGGATGAACTGATGGATTCAGGTTATGGTGATGGAGAAGGATATTAAAAATTCCATGGAGTGACAGAAGAACAAACAAATCTGTGTTGGAAGAAGTACAGCCAGAATGCTCCTAGAAACCAGGATAGCTAGGCTTCATATTTCATAGTTCGGAATGCTATTAAGATAGACCAGTCCCTGGAGGACTTTATGCGAGGCAAAATGGAGGGTCAGACAAAGAGGAAAATCCCCAACAACTGGCACAGTATCAGTAGTCAAGCCCAATTTTAACAACTGTGAAGATGGTGCAGAACCATGCAGTGGTTTGTTCTGTTGCTATGAATTGGAACCAACTACATGGCACCTATCAAGAAATTAAAATAATAATAATAAACTAATAATACATTAAGTGTTACAGACTCTCATTCATTCATGTTTTCAGGTACGTGGAAACGACTTTCACATACACTGGAACTGACTGAATGCAAAATTGTTTCTGAGGAGCAACCTTTGAAAAGTTAAATGATATGGCAAACTGTACACACCAGGTAGATCTTCCCCTCAAATAATGTGTCCCATTAATACCCCGAAATGAGCAAGAGGTTCTCACAATACTCTGGGCATATTGGGACTTCCCTCTAAGCATTTGACTAACCATTAGAAAGAGCATCACCACTGACCACCTAAGTGGAGTAGTGTGTAAATACCTGATTGACAAACATTGTTTTACCAGTTAGACCAGCAACAAGCCTCTTCCATTCTCCTTCACCTCACATAATATACTTGTTTTTTTTCTCTTATACCCAACTTAGCACTCTGTAACCCTACGAAACAGGCTGTTCTGTATTTCTCATTGGTTCTAACTGCAATTGGAGTCAAGATATCAATTCTAACTTGCTACCTAACTTCTGTTGTTGTTTTTCAGTGCCATCAAGTCTTAGGCAGAACTTTTTAAAACACCTTCATAGTAGGACCCAGAATCCTGGTGTGGCACTGTGGGATAAAGCACTGGACCACAATGTCGGTTTGAACCACAAGGTCAGTTGTTCAAACTCACCAGTCGTCCCTTGGAAACCCTATACAGTGTCACTATGAGTCAGAATTGACTTCGTGGCGTGGTACTAACAACAATAACTATAGAAGGACAGCAGGCTGCGTGGGGAATAAATGCTTCTGTGACTGTGACAATGAGAGGCTCACACAAGAGTTTCTTTCTTTATGATCACAAGGACTTATTAATGGCAAAGAGGCTTACTCTCATCTTCCTCCCAACACACTTCTAAAAAATAAAAATAAAAATATTTGACAGTAGGAAGGTCTTACTTTACTTAAAAGGCTACATTGTATTTCCAGCAGAGTTGAGTGTTTATATATTACAACAGAATGTTGCATTTTAATACATTTTACACCACTAATTTTTAAGTGAAGAAATTAAAATTTAAAAGCACCAAGTTTACAAACTTTAGGTTACGTGGTTTTATGACATGCTTCTATCATTAGCATAATTTGATTCTAAAGAAATCATTCATGCTTTCCATTTTTATTTAAATGTCCTTAAATACTCCTAATTAAAGTTTTCTGTAAATCAAAAGCACTACAAAGATGCAAAACTGTATATTCATCAGAGCTGGGCAGCATTCCCTAAAATTGAAATTGTTATTAAGGGAACAGATAATTATACTCTTTATATGTTCCATTTCAATAAATGTGTGTTTGCAGTTGAGTTGCTTTTTATACCAATTTATACAATAGGGACCAGAAGTTTTATTACCAACAAAAGAATATGAAGTCAATCAAATACAGCAAAAGATTTTTATACTGTGGCAAAGGAGAGGGTAAAAATAGTGTATCACAGGTCATCCCTGTATACTGGATCACACTCCATTAAATTATAACACAAAAGAGGTACAGTCATAGCATTTTGAAGTTACCTTAGATCTGGTATGTATGAATACCTTGAAGGATAATGTTGGCTAATACAGCCCATTTAGTCAACTTTTCAGCCATTAGTAGCTGAGCAGCTACTTTGTTCAAAATGTTGTCTTACAAAATACATATTTCCATACCTGCTTTGGACATTTCCAGGATATATTGTTTCTGGAGCGATTCCCCAAGGACAACCAACTCTGCCTCCTGGAAGTCGTTTAAAATCAAACTGGCAGCATATTTTAGGATCCGGTCCACAAGTGTGAGGGATATCATAGCTGTAGAAGGGCATCATGTGACATAAAATATCTGTGACAGATCCCAGATCTAAAATAAAAAGTTAGCAGACAAACATGCATTTTTAAAATGTGTTTTCCCATAAACTGTTCATATACATATAAGGTGCACGTCAAATCACCGTAACTCTTCTGTCAGTTTGTCACACTGTGGTGGCTTGCATGCTGCTATGCCACAGGTATTTAAAATACCTGTGGCATCACACCATAGTGAACAAGTTCAGCTGAGCTTCAAAGCAACGACATACTAGGAAGAAAGAGAAACAGACAGCTTCTTAACGTTTAGCCACTAAAAACCTTATAAATATCAGCTGAATAATGTCAGATATAAGTCACTGAGAACGTTATGTCAGCTAAACACTGTCATATATAGTGCCAGAAGATAAGTCCCTCAGCTTGGAAGACACACAACATATGAACGATTCTATCAGATCTATCAGCAAAATCCTGAATGATAAAAGGTATCATATGATCAACAACCAATGGTACTGAAGAAGTTGTCTAAGGTACACTGAAGGCACTGGCAAAGAACAAAGCTCAGAAATTGATGGAATACACATTGATATCTTTCAATGAACTAATGCAGTGCTGGAAGTGCTCATTCATCTATGCCAAGAAATACAACCTGGTCAACTGATAGGCAGGTCCCAATGTGTGTGACCATTCCAAAGGGAGTTGATCCAGTGAGATGCAGAAACTAGACAGTATCATTAATATCACATGCAAGAAAAATTTTGCTAAAGATAGTTGAAAAATGGCTGCAACAGTACACTGACTGACAGGGAACTGCCAGAGATTCAAGAGGAGGACGTGGAACATGAGATGCCATTGCTGACATCAGATAGATCATGGCTGAAAGCAGAGAATACCAGAATACCAGAAAGAAACTGTCTTTTGTTCACTATGCATCATGACAAGCTATGGACACCACTGCAAAAACAAATGAGTATTCCAAAACAATTAATTATGAGGAAACTGTACTCATTTAAATAGAATGAAGAGATACTGAATAGTATACAATCAGGAAAGGTGTGTACCAGGATTTTATTCATTCACGACACTTTTTCAATCTGTGTGCTAAGCAAATAATCTGATTCTATGAAGATGAACTTGGAATCAGAAATGGTAGAAGACCAATTAGCACCCTGTAATCTACAGATGATGCTATCTTGCTTGCTTATAGTGAAGAGGACTTAAAATGCTTACTGATGAAGATTAAAGACACCTCAATGTAAAGAAAACAAAAATTCTCACCCCTGGATTACTAAATAACATCAAGATAAATGGAGAAAAGATTAAAGTTGTCACAGACTTCATTTTGTTCAGATCAACCATTAGCACTCATGGAAGCAGCAATCAAGAAATCAAATGATGTATTGCATTAGGTAAATCTGCTGCACAAGACTTCTTTAAAGTATTAAAGAGCAAAGATGACAAAAATTTGAGGACTAAGGTGCACCTGACCCAAGCCATGGTATTTTCAATAACTTCATATGCTTGCGACATTTGGGCAGTGAATACAAAAGACTGTAGAAGAATTGGTGTATTTTAATTATGGTTTGGGGGGAGAATATTAAAAGCCCGATGAACTGCCGAAAGAGCAAATAAATCTGAGTTGGAAGAAGTACAGCCAGAATGCTCATTAGAATCCAGGATAGCCAGACTTCGTCTCTCATACTTTGCACATATTATCAGGAAGGACCAGTCCCTGGAGAAGGATACGAAGCTTCGTAAAATGGAGGGTCCGTTCAAAAGAGGAAGAACTCTCCCCATCCCATGAGATGGACTGGCACAGTGGCAGCAGGAATGGGCTAAAGTGTAGCAACGATTGTGAGGTTTGCGCAGGACCAGGCAATGCTTTGTTGTGTTGTACAGTTAATAGCAACAACTTTGGATATGTTATAAGGAGGGATATGTCTCTGGAAAGGACATCATGCCTGGAAATGTGGAAAGTCAGTGCAACAGAGGAAGAACCCCAGTGAGAAGGACTGACACAGTGGCAGCAGCAATGGACTCAAAAGTAACAAAAATTTTGAGAATTGTGCAGGAATGGGCAGCGTTTCATTCTGTTTTGCACAGGGTCGCTATGAATCAGAAATGACTTGATAACACCTAAAAACAACATTAACATATCAACAGTCCCAGAAGTCCTGGTGTGACAACAGTTAAGTGCTCAACTCCAAGTCTATAGGTTTCTGTTGGAACCCACCCAGGCAATTCAGGGGAAAAAGAACTGATGATGTGCTTGCCTAAAGATTAAAAAACCAAACACCCTGCCATCGAATTGAATCCAAATCATAATGACCCCTGAATGAAAGAAGAGAACTGCTTGCACAATTTCTGAGACTGTAAATCATTACAGATCCAAATTACCTCATGTTCCCGGTATGTTGAAAGTGCAGATAGTTTGGCAGCCTCCTGCTTAATCCACTGTACCACCAAAGTGTTTTTTCTGTTAAAATGACAGACTAGAAAGTCTCACAGGCAATTATTTTCTGCCATACATGGTTACTAAGAGTAACCATGTCCTTCAGTAATTTACTGAAGGACACGTAACAGCTACAAAATACAACAGTAGCACTTAATGACCACTCCTCTGTCAGTTAGGGAGTCCTGCTAACAACAAAGTCAGTTGTTCAAATCCACCAGTCACTCCACAGGAGAAAGATCAGGTTTTCTGCTCCCATAAAGATTTAAAACCATGGAAGCCCTAAATCAGGTTACTGGGATTTGGAACCAACTTGATGACAAATAGCGGCAGCGGCAGCAGCCACCACTGCTGCAACGGCATTGGTAAGTGTGTTATGCTACAGTGGATTGCATGTTGCTAAGATGCTGTAAACTAGACCTCCAGTAGTATCTCAAATACCACTAGGGCTCTCTAGGGTAGACAGGTTTCCGTGGAGCTCCCAAATGAAAAGAGACTAGGAAGGAGAGGCACACCAATTCTGAAAACCTTATAAATATCAGCTGAACATCCTCAGATATATTGCCGGAAGATGGGCTCTTCAGGTTGGAAGGTACTCAAAAAATGACTGGTTAAGAGCTGCTTCTTTAAGCAGAAAATAATGGAGCAGATTTGAAGATCTTCATTTGCTGAGGCACAATTCAAAATGGAAGTCATAACTGCAAAATGCATTAGTATTTGGAGTCTGAAGCGTACGAATTATGAATTTAGGAAAATTGGAAGTCATCAAAAATGAAATGGAACACACAGGCATAATTGATATTGGCCATTTTGCATCAGACAATCATATGGTATACTATATTTTGAGTGAAAAATTCAAGAGAAATGGCATGACATTCATCATTAAAAAGAGCATTCATGATCGATCATGAAGTGGACTGATACTTGCCATTTTGAATCAGACAATCATATGGCTTACCATGCTGGGAATGACAAATTCAAGAGAAATGGTATAGCATTCATCACTAAAAAGAGCAGTCATGATCTATCTTGAAGTATAATGCTTTCTGTGATAGGATAATATGCACACCTGCATGAAAGACCAGTTATGATCATTATTCAAATTTACACACCAACCGCTAAAGTCAAAGATGATAAAAATTGAAGAATTCTACCAACTTCTTCAGTCTGAAATGTTTGAGCAATGATAATTATTGGTGAATGGAAGGCAAAACTTGGATACAAAGAAGTAGAATCAATACTTGAAAAATATGGCCTTGGTGATAGAAACGATGAAGACAGCATCATAGAATTTTGCAAATTTCATTCCAAATACTTCTTTTCAATAGCATAAAGGGCAACCATACATGTGAAGGAATGCACAGAAATCAAACTCATTATGAGTGTGGGGAAGAGAATCGAAAAGCTCAATATTATCAGTCAAAACAAGGCCAGGGGCCAACTTTGGATGAGATTATCCATTGCTCATATGTAACGTCAAGCAAAAGCTTAAGAAAATACAAACAAGTCTATGAGAGCCCAAATGTGACACTGACTACATCCCAACTAAATTTCGACAACATCTCAAGACCAGATTTAGGCAGTAGACATCAATGAGCAAAAATCGGATGAGTGGTGACATGACATCAAGGGCATCCTGCACAAAGAAATGAAAGATTATTGAAGAGAGGGACCAAAGGAAAATGACCAAAAACTGTCAAAAGAGACTCTGAAACTTGCTCTTGAATGTAGAGAAGTGAAAGCAACTGGAAGAAATTATGAAGTAAGAGTGGGACAGAAAATGTCATTGTTGTTGTTAAGTGCCATAGAGTTGGTTCCGACCCACAACAACCCTGTATAGGGTTTCCAAGGAGCAGCTGGTGAGCTTGAACCGCCAACCTTGCAGTTTAAATGGCTTTGCGTCTGGAGCATTAACCCACAGCACCATACCAGGACTCCGAAAATGTCACAGGTAGCTCAAGTAGGCGGGCTCAAATGTTACAAAGAAGCCTGAAAAACCTGCTGTTAAAAAGCCAAAAGGGAAAGAACATGCTCAGCATGTTTCAAATTCAAACAATTAAATGGAAATTCAAACCTTAGGTCACAATACTGAAGGATTCTATAGGAAGAATATTGCATAAGAGTCACTGAAGCAAAAAGAAGTTGTCTACACTTAACCACTTCAAGAAGTATCATATGATCAAAAATCAAAGCTACTGAAGAACTTGTAAACTGGATGGAAGGTTTGGGTTAAAACAAGGCTCCAGGATTGACGGAATACAAATTGAAATCTTTCAACAAACTGATGCAGCTGTTCACTTGCCTATGCCAAGAAATTTGGAAGACAGCTACCTAGTCAACCAAATGGAAGAGATCCACATTTGAAGATAATTTAAAAATGATTACAGCAGTACTTTAACAGGCAACAATCAGAAATTACAGCCTGATTTAGAAGAGGACATGGAATGAGGGATACCATTGCTGATGTCAGATAGATCTTGGCTAAAGCAGACTACCAGAAAGATGTTTACATGTGCTTTATTGACTATGCAAAAGCTTTTGACTCTATGGATCATAACAAGCAATGAATAACACTGTAAAGAATAGGTATTCCAGAACAATTAATTGTACTCATGAGGAAGTAGATCTGGAGGCAGTTGTGTGAACAGAATAAAGGTATACTGAATGGCTTAGATTCAGAATAGGTGTGTACAAGGGTTGTATCTTTTCACTATATTCACGCAATCTGTATACTGAATAAATAATCCAAGAAGCTGAATTATATGAACATGTGCATGGCATCAGGATTGGTGAAGACTAATTCACAACCTGCAATATGCAGATGACAAAACCTTGCTTGCTGAAAGTGAACAGGGCTTAAAATACTTACTATAAAGATAAAAAATAACCCCACAGGATTCAGTATGAGTTGCACCTCAATGTAAATAAAACAAAAATCCTAAACACTGAACCAATAAATAAAATCATGGTAAGTGGTAGGTGGTAATCATGGTAAAAAATATTAAATCTGTCAAAGACTTCAGTTTGCTTAGATCCACAATCAATACTCACGGAAGCAGCAGTCAAGAAATTAAACAGTTGGTGAGGCGCTGTGGGTTAATGTGCTGAAATACAAAGTCGGTTTGCACTGCAAAGCCAGCAGCTCAAGCCCACCAGCAACTCCTCGGAAACCCTATACAGAGTCACCATGGGTCAGAACTGACTCGGCATCACTTAACAACAACAGCATTGCCTTAGTCAAATATGCTGTACAATACTTTTTTAAAGTGTTCCAGAACAAAAATATCAGTTTAAAGACTAAGGTGCACCTGATCCAAACTACAGTATTTTTCAATAATCTCATGTGCATATGGAGTTCCGGTGTGGCGCTGTGGGTCAATGCGTTAGACTGCAATGCCAGTTTGAACTGCAAGGTCCGTGGTTCAAGCTCACCGGGCTGCTCACTGGAAACCCTATACAACAGGGTCACTATGGGTCAGAACCATCTCGATGGCACTAAAACAACAACAACAACATGCACATGTAAAATTTAGATGATAAATAAAGACCATATAAGAACTGATGCATTTGAGTTATGGTGATACAAAAGAATATTAAAAGTACCAGAAGAACAAACAAATCTGTGTTAGGAGAAATACAGCCAGAATGCTCCTAAGAAGCCAGCATGGCCAAAGTTCATCTCTCATACTTCAGACATGCTATCAGGAGGGATGAGTCCCTGGAGAAGGCCATCACACTTGGTAAAATGGAGGGTCAGTGAAAAAGAAGACTACCAAAGAAATGGATTGGCACAGTGGCAGCAGGAATGACCTTAATCTTAACAACAGTGGTGAGGATGGCGCAGTACTGGACAGTATTTTCACCTGCTGTGCAAAGGGTCACTATGAGTCAGAGTTAACCTGATTGCACCTATGAACAATATTCCACCCTTAATCCTCTTATGGAGTCCTGGTGTGGAGCTGCAGTTAATGCGCTGGGCTGCAAAGTGGTTTGAACTGCAACATCAAAATTCTACACAGGGTTGCTATGTATTGGAACCAACTCGACAGTACTTAACAACAACAATCCTCTTATTGGTTTATTACATCACATCACATCACATCATGGGGGATAGCTACATCTCAATAGCCAAACTACTGAGAACCCTGGCCCAGTGAAGCTGACACAAAACCTTACCTATAACACCATGTGTTTTCAATTGCACTATATGTGTATATGAAAGCGAGACAATTAATAAAAAAGAATCAGAGCATTTGAATTATGGTGTTTGTGACGAATACTGAAAATACTATGAACTTCCAAAAGAAGAAACCAATTGTCTTGGAAGAAGTACAGCCAAAGTAAGACTTGTCTCTCATTCTTGGGCTATAAGTCCCTAGAGAAAGACATCATGGTTGGTGAAGTGAACGGTGAACGAAAAAGAAATGGACTGACACTGTTATCGCAACAATGGGCTCAAACATAACAACTGTGAGGATGGCGCAGGGCTGGGCGGTCTAGCTTTCTGTTCTGCATCAGGTCACTATGAGTCGGAGCCAACTTGATTGCACCTAACAACAATAGACTGAACTAAGGTATTTATACATATCAGTCTCTTAGGAACGCTGCTATCTAAACATAACAGAGATAGAAAAATCCAGACATGAAATAGCATCTACTGACCTAGAAGATTACAAAGTGAGCAGTTGCAAAAGCTACAACAAATTTATCTAAACCGGTGTCTATTCCTGGCTGCCAACTACTGCTGATCTTTCCTCTTCAGGTATCAGGTCACAATGAAAGAGAACCAAGTTAGCAGTAGAGGTTGAGGGGAAAGGAGAATAGGAGGGGAACAAAAAAATGGGCAGGAAGAACAAAGGGGCTTGTACAAACAACAGAGAAATAACTACTATCTTTTTGCAGAAAATGCAACACAAGGGAATCAATGAAATCTCTCTTGATGTTCACCAATAAAGAGCCAATGGAGCTTTTCACCAAGAAAGGAACATGGGAAAAGGAAAGAAAATTTGCAAAAACAAAAACAAAGTAAGGAAGAAAATACTGAAAGCAATCATTGAATCCTGATGTGGAATGTTTTTTCATTAAAATCCAGATGCCAGCATGTGTTGGCATCACTTCCCCGGGGAGGTCAGAAGCCAACCACCAAGTGAGCAGGCAAACTAACAACTAATTAACAGTGGTTATCCTGTGAGTAGGATCTTGGGCTTTAAATATAACCCCCTAGTTCAATTTATGTATGGATTTTCATTTTTCAGCCTTGAGTATATATTACTTTTATAGTAAGGACAGACAAAGGGGAAGGGACAAAACATAAATAACTGCTTCATTAAGAACATGAACACACAAAGAAATCCAATTTAATCCCAAAACATCCTTTTAAAGAAATGTGTTCAAATCAACCAGGTAAGTTCTATAAAATTCCAGTTTTATCTTATACTCCCATTCGTAAAAATAATTATTAATTCTTTTCTAAATTGAAAACTACTTTAATCCGTATGTTTCCTTAGTCATCAGCTGCTTCATCCACTGAGTCACACTGACAGTATGTCACTGACTGCTGGTCACGATCACTGTCTATGTAGAGGCTGCCAGTAATAACAAAGCTAAAGGCAACTTCCTCCCCCTTTCTCTGGGTCAAAGACATACTCAACACTCTACTACTTTACCCTCACCATAACAGTTAGTGGTTCATTTACACATTTCATTTTTATTTGCTACATTTGTTTGTGTGTGACTTTTCTCAAATTAGTCTGTAATTTCCTTATAGGCAAGGGTGTTTTCTATATTTCCTTCTAGCAGAGTACTGAAGGACATAACAGGGCTCACTAATTTCTTACTCATGAACTAGTATTGAATGCAGACATTGGTTTAAGCAGGGTTTCTTCAAATTAGCACCCCTTTTTTTTTTTTTTTTAATTACTATGTTCTTCCAAGAAAGATGCCACGCCTAACAGGTTCTTGTTTCTCCTTCAGGCTTAATTTTTCAGAATAAAAACTGATATCACTTATTGTTTTCCTTATTAAATAAACATAAGTACATATAAGAAATTTACTGCCTAGAATTACAAAAGATTTTTCTGAGACACTTAAAGGGTTCTAGATAACATAAGAAAGAATGAGTATGGGGGGAAAAAAGAATGAGTATGGTGTAATGTAGAAATCCCAGACTGCTTTAGCAATAAATCACTTATTTAGATGAAATTTTACTGAGACCTTGGGAAAACAATGCATGCCACAGAATTTGGAAATGAACACAACTGGTTCAAATCTCTGCTCAGCTTACATTGTGCTACTTTTGGCAAACAGCTTCACGTATCTATGCCTCTATTTCTTCAGTTTCATAAAAGGGTGATAATACAGGCTAACTTACAAGAAAATTTGAAGATTCATGAGTTTGGGCACAAACCATCAAATAAGGCATGACCCATGACGTTATTAACTGCAGTAGAATTGGCACTCATAGCAATCCTGTACAAGGTTTCTGAGGCTTTAGGGAGCAGAAAGCTTCATCTTTCTCCCATGGAGCATCTGGTGGGCTAGAACTGCTGACACTGTGGTTCACATTCCAGTGCTTATTGTAAGATGCAGCTGTGCTTCCACAAGACCCATAATAAGGATTTAGTAAATAAAATAATCAATTGTTCTCAAATAAATGGGGGTTGGAAAAGGCAAAGTTTAATCGTAAAACGTAATCTCTCTTCTTCCCAAGGAAGAGATGGAAGGGTTGTACCTGGAATGCCTGGGTGCCCACAGAACACAGTATGAAAACAAGTAAAATAGGAAACATGTAGGAGAACATCATAATGATGGCTTTCTTACAAGATGCAAAGATGAGAAAAAAGGAATGCTGATGGAACATGAGGAAATAACAGATCATCTCCATAACTGGTTATCAAGGAGCTCTGATAACATAGTGGTTACGAATCAGGCTGCTAATCTCAGTCAGCAGTTCAAAACTACCAGCTGTTCCACAGGAGAAAGATGAGGTTTTCTACTCCCGTAAAGATTTACAGCCTTGGAAACCCTGTACAGGGTCGCAATGAGTTGGAACTGACACCACGGCACAAAACAACAGTAACTGTTTATCAGTCATGTCCAACTGTATGTTTCATCTTGTGACAAAGTGTGTGCTTTATAAAACAGAAACAAATGAAAGTATTATTTATAAAACACGAAACCTTGTATTTATTTACTTTCTTTTGGACATAAAATGATTTTATAGCATCCCATAGGTAGATACGATCACTGCTTAAAAGAATATTGACATATATTTAATACTGAAAAAGTAATTACAAGAGTGTGCATCTGATGGCTAACCAAAAGTCCCAAACCCACCCAATGGCTATGTTCATATGTAAAGACCTAGCAATCTGCCTCCGTAAAGAATGCAGCCTAGAAAACCCCTGGGACAATTCTACTCCGTTACATGGAGATGTTCAGAGTCAAAATCAAGTCAGCAGTACCCAACAACAGCTTTAGGCAACCTGATTTTCAGGACTGACACACAGAATAAAATCCACAGTCTTGTGAAATAGCATCTGGATCAAGTGAGATATTCAACTTTAATCAAACCTTACATACCCCAATTCTGTCTCCAAAAAAACTCCAGCGTCTTATGCAATGCAAAATGTTTTTTAATTGCATAATGAACTCTCTGAATAAGCATGTGAGAAAATCCAGCACGTTTTAGAAGATAAGCCATTGTTGGTGAATGTCCAAAAGGGTCAATAGCCCAACCAGATCGTGGTTTCACTCCTGTTGGTAAAGAAAAGAAATGTATTATTTTTAATTGACAAATGAAATAAAAAGAAATCACAACATGTTCTATCATCAGTGCTTCATGGTCTCCTTGGTTATAAGGCAAAGACACAAGCCAGCATTATCCTTTATCAAGCACTCCCAGAAGGATTTTCTTTAGAGGGATTCTGCCATTGCTATGTCCACCAAAGCTGAAGCAGGAAAATGTTCACTGAAAATTAATCACACTTTCTTTCTGACATGCTGAGCACATCACAAGACTCTACAGTTTTTGCAATCAGCCATTTCTAATTGAAATAAGGGTTCTGCCATTTTCAGTCACCATAACTCTGCTGTTATTTATTAGAGATACAGAAGGAACCGTGGAGGCTCAATGGGTTATGTGCTGGACTGCTAGCTGCAAGATATGTAGGTCAAACCCACCAACCACTCCATGGGAGAAGGATGAGGTTGTCTGTCCTGTAAAGATTTACAGTCTCAGAAATCCTATAGAGCAGTTCTACTCTGTCCTACAGAGTCACTAAGATCTGGAGTTAATTTGGCCATAGTGAGTTTGATTTTTTAATTGTTTTTTGTTAATAGAGAAAAAACAGGACCAAGTGCCTGTCCACAAAGATCACACATTCCTGTGATCTGTGAAAATGGTAGCCCAGCTTTAGCTACTGTGCAATAAAGAGCAACCTAACTCTTTTCAACATATACATCCATTCCTCATTTATCACTTGGGAAGGTTCTAAAGACCTGGTTGTTATGCAAAATTAAAGGATGACTACATCATTATATGACAGCCAAATTACATGCATTACATAACTATCAAACCAAAAAGAACCATGGTCCAGTCAAGTCGACACATGACCTTAACCATCACACTAGTGTCACTCCTGCCTAGAACACTCAGTATTGGTTGCTGCCAAATGTAAGGTCATTAAAGCACAAAAAGGTTGCAGAGTAGTTTTTGTTTTTGTTTTTTTTATTATTGTCAAAAGTATGAACAGTCAGTAAAGAGATGGTCAGTGAGGAATAGGTATACTTTCAAGTTCCAACATTAAAGATTTTTCAGGCTTTCATATTTTAGTAATAGCATCAAGTTAAAAAAAAAAAAAAGGGGGGGGATGAAAAAGAAAGGCTGAAGAACTGTTCCATATTAAAGGAGACTAAGAGAAGTGATCACTGAAAGCAACATATAAATCTGGATTTGATCCTGGACTGAGGGAAAGAGGTGTCTGAAATAATATGCATGTAAACAAGGAGCTCTAGTACCGTAGTGGTTACGAAATTGGGCTGCTAACCTCAAGGCCGGCAGTTCAAAACTACCAGCTGTTCCGTGGGAGGAAGATGAGGCTTTCTACTCCCGTAAAGATTTGCAGCCTCGGAAACTCTGTGCAGGGTCACTATGAGTCGGAACCGACTCCACGGTACTTAACAACAACAACAAAACTGATACACATAATTTATAGGAGTCTTTCCCAAGTGTTATCATGAAACTTTTTTATTTGCTTGAAATTATATCAAAATTAGGTTACAAAATAAAAGAGTATGTGTTGTCCCAAATAACCAGGGCCAAATAAGCCTATGAATAAAAATAACAGTCAGCATCAAATGCTACAGTGATCCAAGTAAAATGAAATTTTAATGTTGACTCAGCTTAACAATTATAGATAGCATCACTGATAATCTTCTCCATATCAAGCTCTCTTGATACAAAAGTAACCTGGCTGTACTGGATGAAAGAAAGACTGACTAAAAGGTTAACTGATGTAAAATGAAGGCAAGAGCAGGAAACAGTTTAGTGAGAAACTTAGTACACAAAGATTTCCTTGGTATAAGAAAAGTAGTACATTTTTAAAAGTGTGTTTAGGAAAATACGAGACTATAAGCATTTTTTTATAAAATTAGAAATAGGCTTGTTTAGCAATAAAATCATAAAAATTCATACAAAGCTTACCTGCCTTACTGCAAGATTAACATCAAAAAATATATATATTTTAAAGTGTTAGAATACAAAGCAAAACTACTGGAAATCGTTGTTTAAAAAAGTAACATAAACTTAAATTTTGTTAAATCCAGTATACTTAAATAATCAGAAAGAGACTGGAGGAACCCAAGACTATGGCCCATGACCACCCTTCAGGCCTGCAATGGAACTCACCCTTGTGGCCCAATTTTCAGCCAAGCAGTAGATAGGTACATAGTGGGAACACAACACGAGTATGGGGTGCTCACCATGGAATGGTCAACCATTCAAGATCAAAAGGGCAACATTTACCTAAGGACACAGTTGATAAAGGATGGAAAGGAAGTGGAATGGAAATAATCATAGGGAAAAGGTAGAATAAGTGTTGTTAATGGAGGGGATCGCAACCATTGAGATGAAAGAAAATATGATTTTTTAAATGTAAAACTGATCTTTTCTGCAAACGTTCACTAAATTCACAATAAAAATTTTCAAAATAAATAAGGTCATGAGTAGTAATGTAATAAAATTGGATTATTTCAAGTATATTTAACATTATTCACTGCAAAAGACACTATGGAATTACAAATAGAAATTGACATTTGGAAGGAAAGGCAACAGTAAAATCTTAAAAACTCAAACTTTAATGGTCAAAATCTAGTAAAAAAGTCCAAAATGACAAAAATTAATAACCCAACACAGGTTCAGCACTTGGCTATTAACCAAAAGATTACAGGTTAAAATCCACACCAAAGCTCCTGGGGAGGAAATCTGGCAATCTGCTTCCATAAAGATTATAGCTAAGAAACCCAATGGGACAGGTCTACTCTGTCCCCTGTAGTCATTAAGAATGAAAAAAAAACAACACAATAGCACCTAAAAACAACAAGCAACTATAAATGTAGTTTAAAATCAAAGGTAAAAATGAAATGTATAAAATAACATGTAAAAACCAAAACTGAGAATACTAATTTATGATGCCAAAGCTACAACACAAAGAAACTTCACATATTTAAATCATACTCATTATTTTTAAAAAAGGAACTGAGCCAAACAAACTCCTGAGAAACCCTCCCTGAATCTAGCTTTTCTAAGTTTTATGAAACATGTGGTGAGATTTAGATATGCAACAGGATACTAACTAAATTAGTAGAAGCCTGTAGGTCCAAAATTGTAAAACAATTTTGTTGTGGTAAAGTATCAGTTAAGTGTGTTAGCATATTTGAGATGGGAAAGTGAAAGAAGCAGCTGGCTACTGCAAAGAGACAGGAACACACCCATGAGCCTAATCTGGCAGACCTGCTCTTCTTAAAAACAGCCTGGGGGCAGCAACTAACCTCTCCAGCTGACCCTGTCACACTGCCACAGCCCTGTCTGGACTGCAAAAAGAAAGACTAATTCCATGCCATCAGTTTGCCTGTGCTGACTCTGTCAGATGAATGAGACAGATGGGTTTGACCTCCCATTCTCCATACTTGGTTCGTAGACAGAGAAATAAATGTAGTCAAAATGTGTGCTTGTGTGTATCAGTGTACCTTATCAAATCCATGAAGAGACCACAACAGGCTGAAAGTGAGACTGAAACAAAAAATAAATGCAATGACATAAAAATCCAGCTGGTTTAAAAAAAAAAAAAATCAATGTAACAGATTTAAACAGATTTAATAGTCATATAAAAATACCATATAGAAAACTTTAAATAGAACAGTTGTAGAGATTTTCTAAAAGAATTTATACGTTTTGATTGTTGTTGTTGTTAAGTGCCATCGAGTCGATTCTGACCCATAGGGACTCTGCACAGGGTTTCCGAGGCTGTAAATTTTTACAGGAGCAGAAAGCCTCATCTTTCTCCCATGGAGTAGCTGGCAGTTTTGAACTGCTGAACTTTAAGGTTCACAGCCCGATGTGTAACCACTACGCTACCAGAGCTCCTTATGTTTCAACAGACTTAGTGAAGAAAAAAAAAAAACAATTTGCAAAACAATAGGATTACAATGTATGAAAAAAGAAAACAAAAAACAAACACTTCATTCATTGTAGATTCTAATGTTCTCTGGTATCACAAAAGCAGTTTCTCTAACTGATAGAGATAGAGGATTGTTCCTTACTTTCTGCTAACATGTATCATTTTTTGTCTTTTCCTACATGGTATGCATATTATTTGTATAATGAAATACTTTTCAAAACTAAGTGTCCTTCACAAAGTTCTTATTTTATATTCAAAATAATTAAAATATTAACATGAGCTTTGGGATTCTAAAAAAGCAAAATTTTAGCACTGATACTTTTAATAGAAATTGTTGTTGTTGTGAAGTGCCATGGAGTCAGTTCTGACCCATAGTGACCCTGTATTAGGTTTCACAGGAGCAGCTGGTGAGCTTGACCACCAACCTTGAAGTTCAAACGGTTTTGCAGTCTGGCACATTAACCCCGAGAGCCACACTAGGACTTCTTTTTTTTAAAGTTTTTATGATGAGGTTTATATGGGAGAACTTCAGCCCCACACTCATTCTATTGCATTTTGTTTCACTGCAATGATTACAATCCCCTCCATGCATCAGCAACCAATCAAAGGGGACCCCACACAGCCCCTCTCCCTCCCTGAGTCCAGTGTCCCCAGCGGCTCCATCTGTCCATGTCATCTTCTCTGTCTCCATCCCTGGCGTCACTGCCTCTCAGGGTAGGGTGCTGCTCTCCGCTCTTCTCATTTGATGGTACCAGTGACCTCTGCTTCTGGGTTGCAAAATCAATCACTCTGCTCCTTTTGTCAAAAAATATCTACCTCTATATTTCCTACCCTCACAGTCAGTTCTGATGGCAATTATTCACTATTCTACCACAAGAGTCTTATCCCCATTTCTTTTCGCCAGGTTGGTCCCAACCGATTGGAAATCTTTCAGTGGTGATTCTACCTTCCCCTGCCCCATCTGGAACTAGGCTCCCTGTTAAAAGCTTGTAAGCCAGTAACTTCTTGCCTTTGTAGGCTCTCCCATTTTGGGTAGCCAATGTCTAAGTTGCCCATCCCTGTCAACTTTGTGTACCA